TGCCGGCTCGGTTTTAGTTGCCAGGAGCCGGAGATGAAGCTCCGGCTAAAATAGCCCGACGCCAGCCCCGCGTTTGCCGGACTGGTTTCACGCCCTTAGAACACCTCGTATTGGCATTTTGCAGCCCAGCTTGGGCCACCGTCACCGCCTGACATGGTGGTACAACAAGGAAAGAAGTTGGGATGTGACAAGCTTGGAAGAAATTGCAAATCCTCGGTGCCCCTGCGGGTCGGTGGAGATGGGGCTGCCTGCACCTCTCTGCTCGATGGCACAGAGGAGAGCACGATCTTCTGGTCACAATGGTCCCCAGACATCCAGGCACCTACCGCCCCGTTGTGGTATCGCTGCTTTCTTGGCTTGGCTCGCCGAAGCTGTGATGGAGGAGAGAAATTGCAAATAATGTGTCCGCGAGCTATGGGGAAAATGAAAATTTACAGCACGAGTGAGTGGCCCCGTTTGGGGATGCTCTGCGCGACCTCTATCGCTTTCAACCCGTGTTGCTGCACTTGTCATTTGGCTGTTTTGGGGAGCTTGGACACGGAGCAGGATCTCTGTGCTGAGCTCTGGCCGAAGAAAAAGGCTGCTCAGGTGCTGGCTGTTAGTCTCCATCTCGGCCTGTCTGCGTTGTAGTCTTCCAGTGGAATTGGGAATTTGGGATTTTGTTCGTTCCTTGCCTGCGGTGGGTTTCCCGGCTGGGTGGGATGTGGCAGTGCCGCCACCCTGCCCGAACCACAAGGCTGACTCACATAAAAGTTGGGTTTTGGCAAGTAGCAAACCCTCTTATTTCTAAGTGAGGCTTTGGGAGAGGCCTCAGCCCCAAATGTTCCCGTTTTCTGTTGAGTTTTGATCAATCTGGCCCCAAAAATGTGAGTTTATTGTAACTTTCTGCCCTTTTTCTCTGGGTATTTCATTCAAAATGGGTGTGGAGCTGCCACGTGAAGGAGTTATCAATAGTAGGGGAGTTCTCAGTATATGCAAAATTTTTCTTTTTTTTTTTTTTGACGAGGAGGAGGCATCTGCAGCAGCTTTGCTAATGTTTGAGGTTTGGTGACAGTGATGGCAACGTCACCGCCACCGGCGGTACTTCGGCCGGCTGCCCCGCTGCACGTGTTTCCTCCGGAGCTCAGGGAAACCTGCTTTAATCGAGAGCTCGTGCCAAGTCCCTGCCCTGCAAACGGCGTCGCTGCGCCTCTTTACGTGGGGTAGGAGCACCGAGAGCACCGCGGTGTTTGGGGTGCCAAGCCACCCCTGGGCACCCCATCCGCCTCCCTCGGGGCACCCGCCTGCCTCCCGCCCTCTGGCCCCGCACGTTTGCACCCTTGGAATGGAGCCTAGATGAAAATAGCAGCAGCGGATCTCTTCTACTTTTAATTTTGGTGGCTCTCTGGGCTGGGGAGAGGAAGCCGGGGGTGGAGAGGAGCCGGCTGCAGAAGGGAGAAGAGCCGCTTTCCTTCTGACGCGCTTTCAGAGCGATTCGAAATGTTGAAGCCGCTCCAAGATTGCATTGGGGGTTTTTTGTTTGGGTTTTTTTTTACTATAAGAACGATTATAGGTGTTACGTGCTAGTCTGGTTCTTGTGATGGCTGAGGGCTGGAGAAGCCTTATCTGGGAGGGACAGGGGTTTAAACCACGTGTGGTGTGTCTGTGAGCGTGGAGGAGCTGGTTTGAAGCACAAACACGTTCAGGCTTCTTGTTTTCACTGGTTTGTCCAGTGAAGGTGGGTTTGGTTTTGGTTTTCTGGTTTAGGTTTTTGGTTTTTTTTTTTTTTTTTTTTTCCCCCCCTGAATGAAAATAGATGATGGAAAACAGCTGAGCAGGTTTTGCTTCCTGTTCTCAGGCTCTGCCCTGGAGGTGCTTGGAGACAACGCTGCAGCTGATCCAGCACCGGGGCATCAAGCATTTCTGCTTTGGGCCAGTTCCTCTTGAGCTACAGCCAGGCCCTTATTCCATCCCAGAAACTCAAGATGTTGGAGGAACATCTTGTTTTGTTATCACCCCGTGGGGCACAGAAGCAGGTGGCAGACCATGGAGGCTTTGGGACAGCTCTGAAGAAGGTTTCTCCCTGATTTTTCTTTTTTTTCTTTCTTTTTTTTTCCTCCCTATTGGGAGCTTTGGGGTTGGTGTTTTCTGTCCCATCACCTCCAGCCGCAGAGCACCAAAGGAGGATGTGTGTACCCCGCGCTGGTGCCGTGTCCTCTCAGTGCTGTCCCCCTGCTGTCCCTTGCAGTGCTGTGCAATGCCTTTGAGCCACCACCATGGCTCTCGTGAGGATTTGCTGGTGCATGGCTGTGCTTTGACTTTCTCCATCTCCAGCCAGCTCTGGGTTTTCTTTTCCGTGAGACGGCTCCCACCTGGGGCAGCTGGCAGAGGTTTTGATCCAGCTGCCACGATTCCCTTGGGAGCTGCTCTGCAGTCAACCAAGGGATCCATCCCGAATGAAGGAATGCAAATAGAGATGAGCACCTACCAGCAGCCAAAAATGTGGCTGGGGTCATTCCTGAGCCCTTCCTTGGTGCAGGACCTCGCAGTCCTCAGCCAAACATTGCCCATGGCAGGGCCAGCACCCTTGTTACTGCCCAGGTGAGGAAGCAGGAGCGATGGCCTTGGTGGGTACCTGGGTTTGTGCATTGCCTGGTGACTACGGGATCCTACAGTAGATGACAGGGATGGGGGAGTCTCAGGGAGACTGTAGTGGGTGTTTGGGTTTTTTTTTTGTTTTTTTGGGTTTGGGGTTTTTTTTTTCCGATTTTTTTAGGTTATACAGGTGAGTGTGCACAGGTTGGGCTGGGAACAGCATGGATGGAGGCTCTGCACGGACGAGGGTGGACTGGGAAGGACGGCTGGGACCGGCTAAGCGCCGGCATTGGCTTTCCTTCCTAAAGCATTGCAGGCTTTTGTAAAGTACAACTGAATGATGGGGAATGTGCTTTGAAAATTAACAGTCCCCAACGGGTCCATAGTGGGTTTCTGGCAGGGTGTTTTACAGGATGGTTGGACCTCTGTGTCCTGGATTTGGCGAGTGCAGCTCCAGAGGAGTGTTTTTTGGGCAGGCTGAATGCAGGAAGCCACTTCCAGCAGGGAAATGGTGTTCCCTGGTGCAGGGAGTGTCCAGTACTGCTGATTGGGTGTCAGGCTGAGAGGTTCAAGGATGAGCTGTCTGGATGCAGGAATATGTGCAGAACAAGTTGCATTTTGAGGCACTGAGTGGACTGCTGGGGCATAAGGGAAGGGAGAGCTAGTCTGGGCCCAAATATCTAATTAAGCTTTTTTATTTTTGTCATTTTTTCACTTTGTTCCGCTCACTGGGCTGTCGATGAAAACCCACAGAGCTCCCTGCGGAAGAAGGTAAGTTGTAGGCTGGAGGTGAGGGTGGGTATGTGCCTTGAGTCCAGGTGGAGGGGGCTGGGAATGAGGAGGAAGGGAGTTTTTGAGGTCTTTTAATCTTGGGTTTAATCCCAGAGGATGCTGGGCTCACAGCAGAGCTTCCCTGTGATGGCCAAGCTGCCAGCTGTGAGTAGAAACACAGTGGATTTGGTGTCTGTAGTTAAAAACAGACACAATGGCCAATGCCAGAACTGAAGGTGTTAAATATTAGGGAGGAAAACCCCCAGCTGTGGCTCTGGATGTTCTCGCCAGCGCCGATGGGCACGGGAGCGGCTCTGCTGCAAGCCAGGGACACGGTCTTCTTGGTCTTAGTGGTCCCGGTGGTCTAAAGCACCTGTTTTCTGGGATTTTTTTGAATACTGACTATGCATGGCTTCGTTTTCCCACCAGGAAAGTCCCTCTGGGAGCTGGTGCTGGAGCAGTTTGAGGATCTCCTCGTCCGCATCCTTTTGATGGCAGCTTTTCTGTCGTTTGTAAGTAGCCCAGGCCGGGGGGTGGGCATCTACCAGGGCACGCACGGACCCGGCTGGCAGCCGGAGAGCAAAGGAGGCAGAGGAAGGTGCATGTCGGCTGAAGGAGATGTAGCAGTGGTTTCCTGGGCTGTAGTGACAATATCATTGCATCTACGTTCAAGATGAGTCTGTGGGATTTGTCAGTAATGCTGATCCATCCAAAAGTGGCATCAAACAATTACTTGGGATTCTTTCCGTACCAGACAAAAGCAGAAAAGGAAATATTTGGTGGGTGGGATGGGTTTGGAGAGAGTGGGGGGCTGGCAGGTGAGGGCTGCCCCAAACCTTTAGTCCTGGGATGCTTTTTCCTGCGAACCAGTTTTTTGTCATTGTTTGCAGACCCTACTTGAGATAGAACAGGTCCTTTGGACATGTCTCTATGTCATTGCAAGATTTTTGTCCACAAGTTTCCTGTGTTTTTAGATCAGAAGGTACCTTTGTTGCTCTCTCTTTTAGCTTCCTTCTTAAATCTGTTAACTGTTTTCCCTTCATCATTTTTGGTGCCCTCAGCTTTCCTGCCTTCCCCACGTGTGAGCCGTGGCCGGTGTCTGGAGTGAGGTCCGTGCTCTGGCTCTTCACTGAGTTTAGCACCCAAACTGCCCTTTTGCATGGCCCTTCTCTGATTTTAATCCTCACTGATTGCTCTTTAACTCTGTCTTCTGTCCAGTAAAATACATCTTGTGCCTCAGCTTCTGTAGGTGGTAAAACAGAAAGGGAAAATTACCCCATTCTTTGGTTTTTTTTCTGGTGAGTATTTTTGAAAGTATTAAGTGTTAGCATGCCCAGATCCGCGCTGGGATGCAACGGAAGGGAGGCCTGTCTGACAGGTGGAGGTGTGCGTGTTCACGGTGCAGACGCGTTCCTGGTGTAATGTCCCAGCCGCGTGTCCCGGGATTGTGTGAGGTGCTGGAGGTTGCCCAGGGTGTTTGGCAAAGCCGAGTCTCCTGTCCCCTCCTTTCAAATACGACTCCTGGGCAGATAAGGAGAGAGGCCGGATTGGAGGAAGAAATTCTTCAGTACGAGGGCGGCAAGACTTCGGAATAAATTGCCCAGAGATGTGGCTGCCCCCTCCCTGGAGGTGTTCAAGGCCAGGTTGGACGGAGCCTTGAGTAGCCTGATCTAGTTGAGAGGCGTCCCTGCCCATGACAGGGAGGTTGGACGAGATGATCTCTAAGGTCCCTTCCAGCCTAGGCCAGTCTAGGATTCTATGATTGGTACGTTCCCAAAACCCAGTGCAGCAACCCATTAGTTGGTGAGCTGGCGGAGCTGTTGCAATCTACTCGGTTCTGCTCATCACTGCCGTGTCAGAGGTCCTTCGCGCCGATGCCTCCGCCGCAGGGCAGCGAGGTGTCGCTGGGCTGGCGGAGCGCAGGTGGACAAGCAGTTAAATGGAGTGGAAACCTGTTTGTGCAAGCTCATTTGTATTGGGGTATGAGGCCCCTGCGGGATGGAGAGGGGGCTCGGGGTGGTGCAAAGCCACGAGGCTCATCCCTGCTCTGCAGAGCTGCTCTTGCTGCATCAGTTATTCATATTGCATCGCTCTGCTTCTGCCCAGAGGGGCTTCTCAGGGGCTGACCGTGCCACACACAGCTGTTGCTTGCAGTGTCTGTTTGTCTCTGCGCTCATCTGCTCATGGCCACGGTCTTCCCACGGGTGTACTAGACAAAAATAGATGCTTTCCTGGTGCAAATACTCATCCAGGTTTTGCATGGCTGTTTGCTCCAGCCCTGCTCATGTGATGCATTAGGTTATCGTCAGCAGAAGAGTGGAGGCATCTGAGTCAAGTGCTGGCAGCAGTGGATGGCAAATCCACACTTTAACCAAGCCGCGTGGGGCTGGCCACCGCTCCGGGTTGCCTTCTCTCCAGCAAACACCACGTGTTGGTGGGTTCTTGTTTCCGTCCTTCTTAAAATGTCGGTGCTGCTTGTTTCAACCACGTTGTGGTCCTTCCCTTCTCTTGCCTACCAGATCCTGGCCTGGTTTGAAGAAGGAGAGGAGACCACGACGGCATTTGTGGAGCCCATCGTCATTATTATGATCCTGATTGCCAATGCTGTGGTGGGCGTGTGGCAGGTAAGTCACAGCCCTGCCTGCAGGTCTTGGCTCCACGTGGCCGGGGCTCCTCATTTGAAGGTCTGGTTGCTTCTTGCCATTGGAAACTCATTTCTCAAAGGTTCAGTTTTTGTTTGCCCTGCTGGTCCATGGCCCAGCACAGACGCTCAGTCGTTGGCTGCCTCTTGGCTCGTTCTTCAGTCTTTCTTTGGCAACTTTTGCGATTTGGAATTTAGAATCTTGCACTTAATTGCCATCCAGACAGACGCTGCTTATCCCCTGGCCATGGCCATATGTGTTTTCCAAGGGAAGCTTTTTGCCCCATCCAGCAGAAACCCACGGTAGCTGCTGCCCCATGCCTCGCTGCGTCCCTGCTGGGGGATGAGCAAACGCCCCAGCCAGCGACGCGCCTTCTCTTGCGTATATTCATTTTTAGGCCATTTATTTCTCTGCAGCTTGATTTGAGATGGGGTTGCTGGATGGGAAAAAATACGTCTGAGTTGGATATGCTGCTTCCCAAACCACGAATGAGAAAAGCAAGCCCAAAGGTCCATGCAGTGTCCGGACCCTGGTGTGATTTGTGCCAGCAGGGACCATTTCAGAGCAGCTGAAGAAGACGCAGCACTTGCCCCATCCACAGTGCAAACGGACTCCAGAGCCAGGGCTGGGGTTTGGGTGCTCGTGCCGTGGGGAAGGAGCCTGCCAGCACGAGCAGCCCCACCACCCGCAGCTCAGCTCCTCCTCTGCTTGCAGGAGAGAAACGCTGAGAGTGCCATCGAAGCCTTGAAGGAGTACGAGCCCGAGATGGGGAAGGTGATCCGTGCCGACCGCAGCGGGGTGCAGCGGATCCGTGCCCGGGACATTGTCCCTGGGGACATCGTGGAGGTGGCAGGTAGGGGGCTGTCACCTGGGGGGGGGCAGTGGGGGGGGC